AAAAACGTTATCCATAGATTTAAAAAAGACTCTCATTCAAACCTTCCAATATTCATAGTTGTTTCTGTCGAAGTACGGAGGCATAGATAGTGACTGGCTCATCTAGACTTGACAAAAAAGAGGTTAGGAATCGATGTAAGGCTCTGATATTAATTGAAAATGCAAGTTCAACCCTAACAACACCTAGATGGAGGTTAATAGGTGTAATACGCGGAATTTAAAATTACTAACGAATTAATCAGTAACTAGCCACTTTTTAATTCTTTTCTAAATGATTATCCATGGAAGTCAACTTTAGTCCTAAATTTCAATACCGCAGTTGTGGAATCAATCAATATAATGAAAACAGTAATCAATACCAAGATGATCACGGAGAAACCTAACTGGGAAAAATACTCTATGCACTTTGCCAATCAATCCACTATAAATGATTATGTACTTACAGTCTACCAGACTAGACGACGACATAAGCTATCCGATCTCCTGACTACAATTTTGACAGCTCTCCTAAATTTTGTGCTCCCCTACACCAATTCCAGCTGCAATCACCTACGCTCTCCTAGAACTCTGCTATCCTGCAACAATCCCTAGCTTGGTAGAATCGTCTATCTCCTATGGATCACGAAGAACAACCCGTTCTTCACAGACTGGAACTCCAGTCGCCTTCCTCGATCTTCAGCACCTCTGACAGATATGTAGAAAGCAGTGGTTTGATATTTGGATGTTGAATCAAATTTTTTTGACCAAAAATCTCACACAAGATGAGGTTGAATAATATAATATGGAGGAATCACTCTCTGATATGTTTCTCTCAATGTTGAACCTTAGAATTTTCGTATAGATGAGTTCTGATATTTATAGGTAAATCAAAAACCGAATGAACCAGGGAAAAAACCTTTAAAACGCGAAATAAAAATTTTTCGAATAAAGATGTCGCTCGAGCGAAGTCTCAGCGACAGTCGAGTGACAGGCTGTAGCTCGAGCGAAGGAGGGCGCGACAGTCCAGTGATATAGTTTCTGTTTTTGTAGCTCGAGTCAACCTTTGGCGGCAGTTTAGCAAAAATCCGAGCCGTTTTCCTCATCGTTCCAAATTCGAAACCCTAAACCTATTTAACTAACTTTTAAAGAAAAATCACATTACTCCTTGAATTTTTACAATATATCAATTTAAGTCATTTTATTCACAGAATTTGCCAATTATGAAAACAACTAAAACCTAACAAAGATGAACCCTATTGTTTATGTACTTTAATTCAAGATCAGTAGTTTTTTTATTCTTGTGTTTCTGATTAATTTTGCGTACTCATTGTATTATTTAATTGCTTGATTATCAATTAGATAATTAGCTCCTTGTTGTAGTGTTGGGAGACTCACAATAAGTTTAGAACACGACAAAATTAACATATGTGCAATAAATGTTAGGAATAATATTTATCACATGTACAATCATATATAGATAATCTAAAATTAAATGCATTCTATTCATTCAAATTCGGGCTAAGAATAGATCTTGTGACTAGAGTAGATTTAATTTGTCACAGAAAAGAGAGTTAAATACATTAGCCTTTTCGATTGTGAAGAGTGCATGAATATGGCTAGATTACAAATCATGAATTGAAAAGGATAGCAACAAGTTGATTCAAAATCCAATAATTCATCCATAATTTGTTAAAAATCAAATTTTTAGAGCTTTCTTAGATTAATTTAGCATAAATCAAATCAAACTCTCTTTTGTGTAACATAATTCAAATTCCATATGAAACTAATAAACTAGAATTGAATTGATTCAATGTGGGATGATACTCTCAACTCATTGAAATCTATTGCTTGTCAATGACCCCGTATCCTTGCGAAATTTTCATGAACAGAATATATCTGTTTTTTAGAACAAGATCTCATAAGACAACCCCTAATGCAATCGTGGATCAACTATATTAAAGATAAAGTATAAGAGTTGTGATATTGGCAAGAATCGTTAAGCTTGTTATTTAAAACCACAGAATCATTCCTCAACCAAGTTTCACGCATTGCGCTTAGCAAGAGTTGATATAGTATCATCTCAGTATAAAGGCACCTAGTCCACATAGTGTAAGTGTTGTGCTCTAGCTCTAATCGATTTTGGATGTAAGTAATTTTGTGCTAGCCAAATAAAAATAATCAAGAAATATGTTTTCCTGTTTATTAGACGCAAACAAATTCAGAAGCAATGTTACCAAAGATTCAGGCAACTTGACAAAATTACACTTTCATAAACGTTCTCTTATATTTTGTGCAGCGTTGAATTCATACAATCAAGAAATTTTATTTTTATCGCGTTTCATTCTTCTTTTTGCCTTTTTTGTATAGCAGACTATGGTTGTATTATTGGAGCTAAGAAAGCAAATTTCTTGGAACTGTAAAAAAGAAGTTAATATATGCATATTTTCGAGGATTATTGAGTAATAATAGAGTGAAATTTTTGACAATAACTTTTCATGTGTTCATAATTTATATTCTCTCCGTCCCATATTGACAAAGTGATGTTATTCATTGCTAAAATTATCGGTAATCACTTTTAGGGATGACAATTCGAACTGTGAAAACCGAAAACCGCGGTTAACCGAACAGAATTGGGCGAAAAAAACCGAACTTATGGTGCAATGGGGCGGTTATGGTTTTGATTTTAACGAACCTCTTCATTTAGGGGCGGGTATGGTATTTAGCTATGGTGAACCGAACCGAACAGATTATCCGTTAAAAAAAAAAAAAA